CTGAGCAGAAGGCAGACGCTTAATGACTGAGCCACCCAGGCGCCCCTATTATTTTTTTTTTTAAGATTTTATTTATTTATTTGACAGAGAGAAACACAGTGACAGAGGGAACACAAGGGGGGCTGTGGGAGAGGGAGAAGCAGGCTTCCGGCTGAGCTGGGAGCCTGATGCGGGGCTTGATCCTAGGACCCTGGGATCATGACCTGAGCCAAAGGCAGACGCCTAACGACTAAGCCACCCAGGCGCCCCGCCCCTATTACTTAATTAATTAAGTAATCTCTACACTGAACGTGGGGCTCAAACTCATGACCCCGAGATCAAGAGTCGTATGCTCTTCTCACTGAGCCAGCCAGGCACCCCCAGTTTCCCCATATTTAATACAAGGCCTCCTGATTTTCTTCCGCTTCCCCAAACAGACTGCACTCAAGGTAAAGAATGTGCTGACCAGTAAACAAATGTCTAGTCCAAGTTAAACAAATGTCATTTCTTGCCTCAACAGGATGACTGGCTTCTGTTCTACTCTTGGTCCCACCAACTCTCTCTTTCCTACCCACTATCAGAGTCAGTTTTCTAAAATGCAAACCTTTGATCATGTTACAAACCAGGCCACCATCACCTCTTACCTGGCCACTGCTACAACCTCCTAACTTGTCTCTCCTTTTCTACTCATGCCCTGCTCCCAGGTCTGTCTTCCATATATCAACCAGAGTGATCATGTTAAAACCTGTTGGATCAAGTCACTTCTTTGCTTAAAAATCTCCAACAGGATCTCAATTCACTCCAAATAAAAGCCAAAGTATTTACAGTGGCCTACATGGCCCTCCACAGTCTGCCTCTCCCACTCCAGCTATCTCCTTGACTTCATCTTGAACCTCATCCCTGACCCACTGTTCTCCCCCCTTCACTTACCCTGCCCTCCTTCAGATTCCTGGAACACACTAGGCATGTTTCTGCTCTGGAGCCTTTGCTTTGACTGTTCCCTTAACCTGGAAGCTTCTTCCTGCAGATGTGCATGTGGCTCTTCAAACGTCACCTCATCAGAGCAAACTTCCCCGACCACCCTCCATAAAACACCATGCCCACCCTGCACTGTCACTCTGGTTTCCTCTCCTTTTCATAGTTCTTACCACCTGACATATATTTTCATTTGTTTACAGTACGTATTGCGGAGCACAGTGTAAACTCCGGGAAAGCCGGACTATTACCTATTTTCTTCATGCCTGACTCTTCATTGCCTAGAACAGACCTGGCACACAGTAGTAGGTGTTCCAGAAATGTTTAATAAATATTTTTCTTTTTTAAGGTTTTCAATTTTTTGAGAGAGAGAGAGAGCACGCACAAGCAGGGGGAGGGGCAGAGGGAGATGCAGACTCCCAGCTGAGCAGGGAACCCGATGCGGGGTTTGATCCCAGGACCCTGGGATCATGACCTGAGCCAAAGGCAGACACTGAACCGACTGAGCCACCCAGGCACCCAATAAATGTTTTTCTTGAGATTAAAAATTACATCCCTTCATGTGACCTTCAGAGTCCTTCATAACCTGGTCCCCACCTTACTTCCACAGCCTCATCTCTGGCTTCTCCTTCCCTCCGACACCATAATTCAGCCTGAAGAAGAGTTAGAACTTGAAACTAAACACTCTCTTTGGCCTCTGTAAAAATGCTTGGCCTTCCCTCCTCTGTGGAGGTAACATTTATTCTATCACCAAGACTCTGTAAAGTTCTCCCCTCTGGGGCTCCTCTCCTAACCCCAGGTCTGGGCCAAGTGCCTCACACCTCCCACGACCCTCCTCCCTTGATCCCTCTCCAGCAAGCTCCTAAGACACTACATTATAGTAACTGTTACCTATGATTCACTGTGCTCCCAAAGGGTCAAGACCTTGACTCAGGCACCTTCGAAACTCCAGAGGTCAGAATCAGCTTGGTACATAAAAGACAATCAAGAGTTTGTAAGATTAAACAGGCAAAATGTACTGAGACCCCTAGTGTGAATGAGCCACTCTGAGAGCTCAACTCTACAGCATTCACCCTCCTTCCAGATATAACTGGACCTCATTATCAACCCCTTTTAAAAATTAACAGGGTTATCATGAAGTATCAGGTATTTTGCTTGCATCATGTTGACATAAAAGGTCCAAAGAACTAGACACAGCATATACTAGGTTGAGAAGACTCAGTTTCCTGGGCCCGTAAAAAGCAGCACACTAATAACGTGCAGTAAGTAATGTGCAGGTGAATCACAGACCTCCTGGTCCAATCTTCTCATCTATAACATCTGTATCTGGGTTCCCTGAACTGAAAACGTAAGAGTTTTAAGAGCAGAAGGGTGAAAGGACACTTCCAGCTCTGCAGAACAAGGCTTGCAAATATAAACAGATACCCCCTCCAACTCTAACATGGGCCAACTCTGGAGGAGAAACCTGCTCAAATTCTAACTCAGGAAACTTTGTAACTTTGCAAAGCTGCAAATGAGAGAATGGTAGCTAGTAAGTAAAAACAATTAAATTTACACAAACTACTCCCTCTAAGGCCAAAGTTAGTTTGCCCAATTAGAACATATTACATTTGCTAAGACATAGTGTGGCATTTTCACTCAAGTACTCCGTGCGCTCTGATTCCAGACCAGTAATAGCTTGGTAAACTGAGTTAACGGCGTATCTAACAATTGAGTGTGGAGAAAAGACACTATTAACATTAGCCTCTAGATACATACACACACACACACACACACACACACACGTACGTATACACACACGCCCTACTTAGGCTTAGGCTAAGGGCATTATCATCCATAGCAGCCTACCTGGAAACCTGGACCTCATCCTTGCCTCTTCATTTTTCCTTTATGCCCTGGAATCACCAAGAGCCTCAAAAAACATCTCCTACATATAATCCCTCCCCTTCATTTCTCAAATCCTGCTCAAAACCTCCCCTGCCAATGACCATTAAGCCAGGCAATAACTTTCTAGATCCATTTTAATATGGTAGTCACCAGAAACCTGTCACTACTGAGCACTTGTAATGTGGCTAATTCAAATTCGGATGTGTGGCAAGTGTAAAATACACCTGGATTTCAAAGACTTAGCACCAAAATAAAGAAATAAGTAAAATAGCTCATTAATAATTTTAAAATATTGATTCATGTAGAAATATTTCAGTTATATTGGGTTAAATAATATGTATTACTAAAATTAATTTCACCTATTTCTTTCTACATTGTGCTACTATAAAATCTTAAATTATACATGTAGTTTATATTTTTCTGGACAGTGTTGCTCTACAGTGTCCTAGATCTCCACCTCACCCTGTGGATACACCTAGATAGCACCCACCTCTGCAAGTAACCCAGGAAATGATCTGAAGGCTGGCAGAACAGACTCTCCACAGTGAAATGTGGAGAAGAGGCCATAATGAAGAGAGTAGGAAGGGTGAAGACTGGTGAGGAGCCAAACTGATCTGTGGAACTGTAAGAAGGAGGGAGGAACAACGTGGGTACAGAGAGAGAAGAAAAGCAGACCCCCACACCAGGAACCCCAGGCTCATGGGACCTGCATTGGGAAAAAGAATCCCTGTAACATTCAGCTTTGAAAATCAGAGAGGCCTAACTTTGAAAGTTCCTACAGTAAGCGGGGCTTCACACATGGAACTTTAATAAAGTTTTTTTTTTTTTATGATTTTATTTGTTTGAGAGAGAGAGAGAGCACCTGCCAGTAGAGCAAGAGACCAAGCACAAGCAGGGGGGAGGGGCAGCTGCAGATGGGGCAGCAGACTCCCCGCCGAGCAGGGAGCCCACGCAGGGCCCCATCCCAGGGCCCTGAGACCATGACCTGAGCAGAAGGCAGACGCCCAACAGACTGAGGCACCTGGGTGGCTCATGCAACTTTAAAAAAAATCAGTGGGTTCAGCTCTGGAAGAGCCAGACAGGGTGATAGGAAACTGAGTCCCCGCCCTTGAAGAGAGAGCACAATAAATAGCCCCATGGAGATACACCACACAGGGAGCAGTTTGAAAAACACCTGAGGTACAGAGGTAGGAGATTTATTTACTAATCTCAGAGCATGTGCTGGAGGGGCAGGGATCCCTGGGAGACTTCTCCAAGAACAAAAGACCTGGCAGGTGCCATTTCCCTCCCCTGAGCCACCCTGAATACATGGACACCTGTGGGAACTACTGCAGTGTGAACCCTCTCCACCTCGCTTGCTGACAGTACACACTGCCCCAGTGCTCTTCTGTGGACTCACCCTACATCCCAGTCTGAGCAGTTTCCCCAGGAGGCTGCAGGCCCCCTCCCACGGCAGACCAGGAAGGACCTTACTGGCACCGTCTGCCCCAACCCTCGAGTTCTCCTGCAGACCTGCCCCCCAAATATACCCTTGGCCGGAGTTCACCCAAAGCAGTGCCACAAGCCTGGCAGTATGCAAAAAAAATTAGTATATGTATAAAAAAATCAGTCAAGGGAGTCACAAAGTAAAAAAGATATTAAGTATGACACCATATACCTAAAATGTGGGGGGAGAGGAGTAAAGAATGGATTCAAACTCTGGAGACTATCAACTTAACATGGACTGCTATATGTGTAAGATTCTATATACAAACCTAATGGTAACCACAAATCAAAAACCAGTAACAGATATGCAAAAAAAAAAAAAAGAGGGAGAGAGAGAGAGAAAGGAATCCAAGTATTATCACTAAAGAAAGCCAGCAAACTGTGAGAGAAGAGAACAAGAGAAGAAAGGAACAGAAAAGACTACAAAAGCAACCATAAAACAAGTAAAAAAATGGCAGTAAGTACAGACCTATCAATAATTACTTTGAATGTAAATGGATAAAACGCTCCAGTCAAAAGACACAAGGTAACAGAATGGAGAAAAAAGCAAGTCCCATCTTTATGCTTTCTAGGAGAGACTCAATCCAGACCTAAAGACAGGCAGATTGAAAGTGGAAGGATAGGAAAGCATTTATCATGAAAATGGAGTGAAAAGAAAGCTGGGGTAGCATTACTTATACTGGACAAAACAAACTTTAAAACAAACACTGTAGGGGCACCTGGATGGCTCAGTCGGTTAAGCGTCGGCCTTCGGCTCAGGTCATGATCCCAGAGTCCTGGGATCAGCCCCACGTTGGGCTCCCTGCTCCGAGGGGAGCCTGCTTCTCCCTCTCCCTCTGCCTGCCACTCGCCCTGCTTGTACGCTCTCTCTACTAAATAAATAAAAATCTTAAAAAAAAAAAAAAAGAAAAACAAAACAAAGACTGTAACAAGAGACAAAGAAAGACATTATATAATCATAAAGCAGACAATTCAACAAGAAAATATAACAACTGTAAATATTCATGCACCCAACATGGGAGCACCCAAATACAAAAAGCAGCTCATAAAAAAACATAAAGGAAGTAATCAAGAGTAATATAATAATAGCAGAGGACTTTAACACTCCACTTAACCAAGCAGAAAATCAACTAGGAAACAGTGGCTTTGAGTGACACATTGGACCAGATGGATCTAACAGATACATTCAGAACATTCCATCCTAAAACAGCAGAATACACATTCTTTTCAAGTGCACATGGAACATTCCCCAGAACAAGTCATATGTTAGGCCACAAAACAAGTCTGAAGACATTCAAAAAGAATGAAGGCATACCATGCATCTTTTCCAACCACAATGCTATGAACTAGAAATCAACCACAAGAAAAAATCTGGAAGTGACACAAACATGTGGAGGTTAAATAACAAGCTACTAAACAGTGAATGGGTCAACCAAGAAATCAAAGAGGAAATTAAAAAATACATGGAGACAAATGAAAACACAACAGTCCAAAATCTTTGGGATACAGCAAAAGCAGTTCTAAAGGGAAGTTTATAGTGACACAAGCCTCTATCTCTCTCCAATTTTGCCTCCTGCCATACACCCTATGCTTCTACCACATGGACTCTTTGCCCTTGTTACATCATTCTTTTTCGAGGCTCCTTGTCTTTGTACAACTTATTCTGACCACCATGTACTTTCTTCCCTCAGCTCTACAGAAAAAATTCCTACTCACCTTTCTAGATCCAGTTCAATGGTCCCTTCCCTTCTGAGGCTTTTCCAGATCCCTCATCTCCCCGCCTCCCCCTTCAGCATTTGGTCCACATCTCCATTTCAGAATAGTAGCTTTTCTTTTTGTTTTGTTTTGTTTTGAAGTATATATGCTTTTTTTTTTTTTTTGAGATTTTGTTTTTTTAAAGTAATCTTTACCGCCAACGTGGGCTTGAACTCACGACTCTAAAATCAAGACTTGCATGCTCTACCAACTGAGCCACCCAGGCGCCTCTAGAACTGTCATTTTTTTATGCATGTTCTTCTCCCTCAACATTTTCTCAAGCTTTTTTTCATTTCAGTGTCTCCAAAACCAATCATGTTGGAATTGTCCAGAATCATCAGAGCAACTTAGAAACTTGCCATGCATGGAGGGCCCTGACAAACAACTTTCAAAAACTCCTCAGGTGATTCATTAGAAAAGAGCAACAGCTAACATTCAGTGAACATTCACCACAGGCCAGGCACTGAGCTCCGTCATTTATGTGCACCCTCTTGCTAAAATTCCTCACTGAAGCCCTACTGACATCCTAAAGGAAGCAGGTACCTTCTCCTGACTACTTGTGAAGTGTGACCCTAGTTAAGAACCACTGCCTGGCACAGAGAAGGTATTCCAAAAATGTCTGCTGAGTCAATGAATACAGAGTCTGGGTCATTCTTTTCTTTCTTTCTTTTTTTTTTTTTAAGATTTTATTTATTTGACAGAGACAGAGAGCACAAGCAGGTGGAGCGGCAGGCAGAGGAAGAGAGCAAAGCAGGCTCCCTGAGGAGCGGGGAGCTGGATGCGGGGCTCGATCCCAGGACCCTGGGATCATGACCTGAGCCAAAGGCAGATGCTTAAC